AATTCAGCTAAAGGGAAGGAGATTTGAGACGATAGAAGAGATTCAGGCAGAATCGCAGATGGTGGTTGACAGGCTGACAAAGAAAGATTTCCAGGGATGCTTCCAGGCTTGGCAGCGGCGCTGGGATCGTTGTGTTCACTCCCAGGGGAACTACTTCGAGGGTGATGGATGAATTTAATACCTGAGATAAGTGTACGGGTTTTTATACACGCAGTCTGGAAACCTTTCGATCGCACCTCATAATCTATGCCCATTTATATGCAGTCAATGGCCAATGAAGAAAAGGGGGTGGAGTCAAGTGGAACCCATCTCACCCAGTACACTTGACCACACAGTATATATAAAACTAACCCACATGGACCTCTACCGCCATGCAGTCACAGCATCATCTGGCACAAAAAGTGGCTGTCTTATCTACACCGATTTGCCAGGCTAGAATCATCTGTGACTCTTGACAGCTTAGAAGGATAAATTCGTCACTTAAGACAAATGTTCCCACAAAATGGCTACAGTACAACATAAATACATAGTACCCTTTACTTGAAGAAGAAACACTGGACTCTGGAAAGTAATCCAGCTGGCATGGCCATAATACCATACACGCAGACAATATCTGGAAAGATCAGCAGGTTATTGGACAAGTATAACATTAAGACAATACACTGATCAGACAAGAAGAGCAACAGCATGCTAAGGTCAGTGAAAGATAACCTTGGAGGCTGTGTACCAGGTATATACCAGATTTTGAATGAGTGTGGTAAGGTGTATGTGGGCCAGATGGGGCACACCATAACAGCCAGATGCAAGGAGCATGCACATTATGTACGACTACATCGACCAGAAAAATCGGCGGCAGCAGACACAGCATCAAAACTGGTCATAAAATTGGCTTGGAGGAGGTCACACTGCTAGCCAAGACCTCAGGCAACATGGATTGACTGTTAAGGAGACAACTGAAATATGACTGCACTCCAATAATTTCAATGGAAACAAGGGGTTTATGCTGAGCTGGGCATTGCACCCTCTCATCAACATCCTACAGAAGACGCAGACAGTTAAGCAACACTCAGACAGCATGAGGTTGGACAGGTCCACGGCCAGGTCAAGCAACATGGAGATAGAACAAGAACAGAAGAGAGACATGTAAAGGGCACGGGTAAACTATGTAGAGGCGGGACAAGGTTGGAGGATGACTGCCATTGCAGATGATGGAACCTTTCAATCAGCGACTTTTGTTAGGTTGCTTTGACCTGCAGTTCAATGTACAGCATCTCTGAGCAAATGTTTCAACATGGGTTCCACTTGACTCCGTCCCCTTTTCCTCACTGCACATTGACCACACATGCAGGGGCATCGATTTTTATATATATATATATATATAAACAACCAACCATGGTTACCCATCACATCATTCCCTGATGGAGACAGAGAGTCTCTGAAATGTTGAACTTCTGTTCCAAGTTGACGTTGCTGGTCGCCCGAGAGGATTTTATCACTGTTAGTTGCCGCAAAAGTTTTAAGTCATACAAGTCATCTCTTACAATATATAGTAATATAATGCAATATGTGAAATCAAACAAGACAAGCAAACATGTATAACACACAGAAATCAAAGTTTTATAACAAGTACTTGAGATACTATACAAACATAAGCAACTGGCACAAGTGACAAGAGTCCACAGAAATTACGAATTAAGAGCTTCACATGAGTAGAAATCTTCTCTAAGCAGTACATATCTGACTTTTACAAACAGACAATAACATAAAGTATTAATAATGGTACAGTTCCCCTTTCTGGGCTTGGCAGTCTGCACTTTTCAACAACTGTCATCCTCAAATTAATTATAATTAACTGGGGTTTAACCAGTAACATTTCAAAAGAGCTCTATAAATTCCCATCTAAATTCAATGAGGAATAATTTTTTCCTGTTTAATCTCTCACCCACCTTCTTTCTTTCCTATCCTCTTTCTCCCACATTCCTTTCCAATCCATTCCATATCTTTGGGTCCCTGGCTCTGGCTACTGTACCCTCCTCTTATTCCTGACATCACATCACATTGTCTACTTGAATTTTTTAAAATTATAATCATAAGCACTACAGCACACACCACTGGGACCTATTCTGGATCCACGAAACATACTGTCAGTGAAAATTCAAGTGAAATGCCTTGATAACTTAATGACTTACTAAAACTGATTACCTGAATATACCTCATTTATTTCTTAAGAAACTTCACAAATGCTCATTAAATTGAATTATACTCACACTTTGTGATGTAAAAATATATAATATCCATCACACAGAATTTATTGCATTAAGATTATTCTACTCTCACGAAATCAAATAACCTTATTACAAATTACTATTTGGGTTCTTTCTCGTACAGAACATTTCGGCATCTAGTGTCATTACTAAGAACTCTTTTATGTCAACCATCATACATGTTATGTTATGACAGCATTTTCTGCAATGTTTGCACTGATTTAAATATATCCTGTACAAATGTATGGTTTGAAAGCATCACAGTAAATCAAACACGCTATTATAAAATGCATATTAACATATTCAAATGCAAAATATGAAAAGATTCTTGTACATAAATTATACCACACAAAACTATCTTATGAGACAAATATACAGATTTACTGTTAGTAAGTGGGAATGACAAAAACTGGTAAAGACCTGAAAGACAGAACTTACTGGGAATTCCCTCCCCTGTACCAAAATATCTGAAATGATAGGAAAAAATATTTTCCTGAAGAATCATTTCCTACAAATTCTAGACAAGTTACTGATGATAAGAACAATTTCCACCTCTTGAATCAGAACAGATTTTCAGATTATGTTTAGAATGTTGGTGAACCTAATAAAGTGAACTGGCTGTCCTGTGTAAAGAATTATTTATACACACCTATATTACCAGTTTTTACAGATCATCTGTAGATTACAGCCTGCAAGTATATTGTTCTGCAGACAGACATAAGAAAGTGTGCTTAAATACACTGTCACAATCTGGTATGAGCTTTACCTTGTTTCAAATCACCTGCACTCCCATCACAACTAACATTAGATACTGCATACATAATGGTCACTACCACGCACAGGGGCCCGGGGTTAAAATTTTGTACCCAGCCTCCTCTACAATGGGTACCAGGGTCCTTTCCCGGGGGTTAAGCCGGCCGGGGCGTGATGCTGACCACTCACCCCCATCTAGTGCCGAGGTCAAGAAAGAGAGGAGCTATACCTCCTCTCACCCCAAACGCCTACACGGCGTATAGTGGGACAAACCTGACAATTTTAGATACAAAAGCTTAAAAATGTTGAAGCCAATGATAATGCTGACTCTTAAACAGCTGTGTACCTGATATGATGACCAATATTAGAAGTCAATACTAACAAATTCCCAGACAAGAGAAATTCCCAGGGTATTTTGATTGAAATAAATGACTGTATTATCGTACCTCACACACCTGCTTACAGTGAATGTGGTAATTAACCCCTAGTTACTGTCAATGTGATATCTTGCGCCTGACTACAATAACGTTTGTATCTCACTGCCTGTCTGTGATCAATATGTCTCACACCCCATGGCTACAGTCACTGTTTCCTTTGTGAATAACTTCCTGATGGTCTACAACAAATGTTTACTTCATTTTTATTTATAAAAAATAATTAATCAGTTTGTTGTTTCACATATTGTGTACTGGACCCCATGTTAAACAGCAGAAAATCTTACTTTGGTAAGGAACTAACACAAATTGTTTTAGACTTAAAGTTTTAACAGTATTCATGTTAAATTTCTGTTCTATATTACATGATTAAAACTGTATATTAAATGAGTAAAAGCTCCTGTCTCTGGGATGATACAGACATCAAATAAGTATTTATTTATTTTGTATAAAGTGAAGTTTTGCGGTGAGTGAAGTTGATGAAAGACTCTCGGGTTACAAGTCGCGTCAGGTGGCTGAGTGATGAATAAACCATATCTTCTGCCAACATTTCGAGAACAATCTCTGCATGTAGCACGCTACAAAGGATCAGATATGTTACGCAGCAGCCCTGATGATGAGAGAAGAGATTGTTCTCGAAACGTTGGAAGAAGATACGGTTTATTCACCACTCAGCCACCTGACGCAGCTTGTAACCCGAGAGCCTTTCATCATTTATTTAACTGTTAAATCAGGAGTTTCAGAAGAATTTCCCAAGTTTTTATTTTGGCTGTTCTTCCACGGGGAGCACTGCTGTGCAGTATAACACTGAATATTTGGGACACAGCATGCAGTTGTGTCATGCTCCAGCCATTTTTACTTGTGGAGAAAAGGATCCCCACTTGGAGGCAGTTGTTCACTCAGCACACTGTTCAGTGCTGTGGTTCTGAATAATTCCCATCACCTCACAATAAACCAATTCATGTAATTGGCAATACTATGGCAGCTTTTATTACCAGAGAGCTAATTGTGCACGTCTGTGTTTGCGCCTCACTTTAAGACTGCCTCCCATCTCCAATCTTACTCCTGAGTTTCTCCCCTTGTCCTTCAAACTCAGTGAGTGACGCAAACTTGCTAGAGATTCAAACGACTGTTCAACCACCTGTGGCTCTGATGGAGGAAGGAGTCGCAGGAAGTGTGCCTGGGGGTCTGATAGGGAATCCAACAAGCTACTATACCCTGACTCCTGACCCAGGTTCATGGAGGTTATGGTTTGGTCTTCATCTCTTGAATCTAAATCCCCACTGGTCTGATCTTCAACTTCTCTCTCCATTGCCTCAGCATCAAATAGGGGGTTTATATTAACTCCATCCCTTACAGGCACTGTCTCTGCATCGCCAAACACATGATCAGTCTTATCACTCTGCAGTGCTTCACTCTGACCCAGATCAAACAAAGGGTTTATAGTGAAGTCTAAAGAAGCACTATTACATGCCCTGAAAGAGTTACGATAAATATTACGACGCAATGCTTGCTGCTCGAGGCCGAGTAGATTGCTGGTGTCACATACCTGTTGCAGCAAGGGGGAATTCAGTCTAGAAGAGGAGTATCTCTCACCCGAGGCCAACTTGGAGTGGTTGATGTAATAGTCACGTCCATATCTGCAGTAAACAACACAGGACACTCATTAAGCTGAACAAAAAATTCTCTGCTATTATGAAATTTAAAAGTTTCATCACTATCATTACAGAAGTTCACCACTGGACTCTATGCTGAGTCATTTAGATTCAGTTCCATCACTACACTCCATCTCTGTAAGAAATATTTGTGCAATATTTTCTTATAGCTCTCTTTCAAGTGGTATTATCAGACTAACACAGCAGCAAACATCATATTTTAAGAAGTTCAAAAGGAGAAACAAAGAGGGAGAAAATAAAGAAACAAAATAATTACAGAGAATTATCAAGAAATTAATAAACAACATATGACGATATGGGAATGTTTTAAAGTTAAGGAGAATCCTGAAGAATGTTTTGAACATGAAAATAAAAGACAAACACCCAAAAGGAGACTGAAATCAAGATGAGAATAACAAATTAGCAAAGATGTCACACTGAAGTAAGAAATAAAATTGAAGGAAACTTAGGTGGAGAACAAGGATAAGAGTTGTGGGGAGGGAGGGGGGAAAAACACATGCATGCGCGCGTGCACACACACATATAGTGAGGTTTGAATGACAGATAATGAGCCGGGATAGCTCAGTCAGTATAGTGACTAGCTACGGCTTGGGCGATCGGGGTTCGATCCCCGACAGGGGCAGAGGATTTTTCCTCTAGCCTCTGTGTCCAGACCGGCTCTGGGGCCCACCCAGCCTCCTGTCCAAAGGGTACCAGGGTCCTTTCCCAGGGGTAAAGCACGGCCGGGACGTGATGCTGACCACTCATCCCCCATCTGGTGCCGAGGTGAAGAAAGAGTAGGAGCTATACCTCCGCTCCCCCCAAGTGCCTGCATAGGCATGTAGCGGGACGCTTTGCTTTACTTTACTTTACTTGACTGTCAGACAACCTATAAATATTGAAAATATATTTGGAGGAGAAAGAGGAAGATCTTTAGAGTGAATACTTTCAAATAAGTCCTGCCATAAAAACTTTGTACAAATTTATACATTTACCATGTGAGCTCCACGTCCAGACCGCAACAACCTCCTGGATATAACCACATATACAATGGAAGAGTTTTAGTTGCACTGTCTAATCTGCATATGGTTCGTCCTTCTTGGTTCAAATGTATTCTTTAGAATTCTACTTTTAAGTGATACTTTTCTCAAGAGATCATGTCTCACAAGTATAGTAACAATGGGCCAAACTTAACTATTTTATGGGCAGTAGATGAGATGGTTAAGTTTCTTGGTAAATGACATTTGTGTAAATAATCTGGCACAAGCACTACCATGTTCTGTTACATAGAACATTTAACCCTCCCAGTCCTCTAATGGACTTAACCAGACATGGGAAATCTAAGAATTTTAAAATTCAAACATAATTAATTGTACGTCATGATCAAATGGACACAAAATTATTTATTTCCACTCCATTTGAAAATAAATTCTAACTCACCTCTTATAGTCCAGCTCACCAGAAGTGCAGATGACTTGGAGAGGTGATGTCACCCGTGACTCTGCATTCAACTCAGGGAAATCACTATAATTTGCAAAAACAACAATATTTAATGAAAGACAATTTTATTCCTTTAGAACTGCAAGTTGCAATGTTCTCAGACCCTTGATAAATCATTATTAAAAGAATTTTTTTGTCTGCTAAAAGTCCCACTAGTCTAGTAGGAACACAAAGCACTACATGCTACATCCTACTAGATGTATGCCATTTATCTCCTGACTAAACAAGTTTAATTTAGACGTAATGTGCCTGATGTGCCTGACTTGTGTAGGATGCATTTTGAAATGGATGGGGCTAGTTACATTCACAGTACTTTTAAAAATTTAGTGAATACTTTCTCCTGTCATCATCATATCCATGAAACGTGACTCCTATCACAGCCATCTACTAATTGTGATATAAACTACAAAAACAAATATTAAACCCTGATCCATATATGAAATTCTTGCCTGTGGGCATCAAAGTTTGCAACTGTGTTTCTGTGATGCCATGCATTCTGAAGCTTTGTGAGATAAGGGTCACTGTATATCAATACTCACACAGAGATGGTGCTGCTGCTGAGGCTGCTAAATCCAGCAGATTTACTACTCAGTCGTCTGCTGATGTTCTCAGTTGAGTAAGGATTATTGGGAAGGGGCGGAGCACTTTCCCACTTACGGTGCTCGCGCTCTGCTATTGTTCCTGCAACAAGCAGACACAAATATCAGTTTGACAGAAACATAAGTAATTAAATGCAACTAACACACAGAACAACAACTATTATGATTGTTTAACAAAATTTTTATCAGCTATATTAGATAAGAATAAAATTAAAATTTACAATTTGAGGACAATGTTAAGAGAAGCAATTATACCCGTACACCTCCTCACTATCACCTTTTTGTTTTTCTTGCTCAGGGATGGGGCCATTATTGGTTAGGTAATGGTAAATCAGAGTGAGGTGATGTTTAAGTGGATCCTGGCTAGCTGTCAGTGGAGTCATGAGGTATAAGGGATAAGGGTATGCATCGTGCTGCAGTTTTGAAATGAGCCAATAATTGTTATTGGAGTTGAAGTTCACATAAAACGAAAAAATAAAAAAACTTGAATCACTTTCCTTCTCACCATTTCTTGGATAAGTTGAATAATAATTGTAAACTGATTATCCATGCAGTGGCACTGAAGGGTGATCGCTGTCTACCAGGACCTAGCTGCAAGTGTTTTTAGCATCACCAATGCTAAGAAAAGCGTTAATTTTTAAAAACAATGGTACGTTTCAGTTTGTTTAAATCTGCAGATTCTAATTGGTCAGCCAGATTCAAACGCAGTCCACTTCTTGGTCAAACAACTAGTTCAAGTGAGAGTAATTTCTCTCCTATTGGTTAGCCGCAGTTGGGCAGAAAAAGGGTGTGAGGTAAACCAAAACACCCTCAAGAGAAATTTCCACTAAGTTAGGTTTCCAGCCCATGTTCTTTGTGAAACATAAATTTTAAAAACTGATGTCCTTCATAACTTAGATAATATCTTAGGGAAACAAACTGGGGCATGGCCCACAGACTTGTCCAGCTACACAGTCATGGCCTATTCTAATTCTACAGCTGTTGCATTTGATTGTAGTCAAATGACTATGCATAACTGTATACTCAGGAAATACTAAACAATTATCATGAAGTACATACTGGGGACTTTTACTAAAATTTGTCAGCACATTCCTATTTTGGCTAAAATCATACAATAATAATGGATACTTTACACAAGACTTTGTACATGAATTTTTGCAAATGGAAGTAAGATGATGGGAAATCCAAGACAGCCATGCAACCACACAGGGGAATTCCCATTATCATGTCAGTGTCTAGCTAGATAACCCACTCATGCATAGGTCATTCACTGATCCCAGGCACATCAGATATTACTTGGAGCATTAATAAAAGTAAAATTTTGGCAAACAGGCTGGAATTGTTACACTTTGCATGTTTCCTGTCTTGTTCCATTCCTTAGGTCATGCTAAAGAATCCATCCAAGACTGAGGCCATGAGCAACTATCCCCCTTCACAGGAAACTGAAGACATGTTGCTAGTAACTTTACTGACATGAGGTCTAGGACATAGATGGAGAAATACATACACAAGTTCCATTGAAATTCAATGGTTTATGGTTCATTATTTCTCACAACTGCTGCTCTTCACTATGGAAAGCACAACTTAATGTTGATAGTGTGACTAGCAGCTGCTGCCACCTGTTGCTCATGCAGTTAACTATGAATATCAGATTACCTGTACACAGTAAAGTGAAGTTTGTATCTGTACCTGGCTGAGGGGGTGAAGACAGCTCTGTATCGTTCTTGGTATCTGTCCACATCTCCTGGTTCGGTGATGATTTGCTTGGTTCTGCTGGCATTGGAAGAGTCCTACAAAATTCCAATAACAGTTTTCATACGAGATACATCCAAAGTGTGTAAATAAAGGAAACCAGTATGTAGGAACAACTTAAAACATCCTCTCTGTATCATTTGACAAGACATCAACAAAATAAACACTTCTGTTTGCAGTAGGAGTGTTTGATGAGTGAAAAGTTGTGTGTGCCTCAAGTCAGCAGAGACCTTTCACACTCCACTAAATACTGTTTCCATCATATTTTTCCCACAAAAGCAGTATAGGAAATGTTATAGTGTTCAATGAGATTGATTAATGACCACAGAGAAGCTGAGAAAGAAAACACCAAAAGTGGAAACTGGATAAAGGCTAGTTATTTCAAGTTCATAAAGAAGAATCAGATACTTGTTAGTAGCATTTGTCTGAAATCAATACAAATACATTTTTCTGAGTAGGTATTTTTCTTTGTAGAGGGATTTGGAGTCATCTTGCATTCAGCTAAACATATGTAAGTAACTGGAAGAAGTCAGGGTACAAATACACTATAAGCCAATAAGACTGACACAGTGTTTGGTAGTGCAAATTCAGCTCACAGACATTTCAGTTATAAAGCTTACTTGTAAGGATGCAATCAATACAATTGATTTTAAAATATAAATTTGAATAACATCAAATCACTATCTGGTGTGCAGGTCAATCATGGAGTGATCATGACTTCGATAATACTAATTACATCTGAGGTGGTGATTTTTAGCTCAACACTAAAAGATAATAATAATAATAATAATAATAATTAGTCCTCTAATGGCACTATCTACTTATTTATTTTACAAAAATATTATTTTTTTCTGTGTAGTCTGTATAAGTTGACTCCACATGTCAATGATCTTACTGGGGATCACCAGTGTGGGTTCCATCATAACAGATCAACAAGTGATCAAATTCTCTACATTCACCAGATACTAGAGAAAAAGCGGGAGTACAATGGGACAGTACATCAACTATTTATAGACTTCAAAAGCCTATGACTCAGTTAAAAGAGAAGCTCTTTATAATATTTTTCTTGAATTTAGTGAATCTAAGAAGCTAGTAAGGCTGATTAAAATATGCTTAAGTGAAATCTCTAGCAAAATTCATGTAGGCAAACTTTGTCCAATAAATTTCATATGGAGAATGGCCTGAAACAGGGAGATGCTATAACACCATTGCTTTCCAATTTTTCCTTACAATATGCGATCACGAAAGTTTAAGAAAATCAGGGTGGAGTAGAACTGAGTGTGTGTGTGTGTGTGTATATATATATATATATATTATATGAGAGTCTTTTATGTTCTGACAGCAGCGGAAATGTCAGTGTTGGTCTTCTGGGATGCAGACACACCTAGCCTTACAACCCACAATATCAACATCAACATTACAACAGTTACATTCGTTTTTGTAGCTTTTAAGAGGGAAATGATTCGTGAAACACTGAATGTTATGTTTGATGAGGTACACATTCTAATTTATCAGGGAACTGCTTTGCGAACTTACGGTTTGGAAACCAGTGTCTTAGAGTAAGATAACAGATTTTATAATCACATGAAACAATGCGTGAAACACCAGTCAACCTCTTCTTGTCATGCACATACCTTGGTTTTGGAACTGGTGCTAGTGCCAAATGTTCAGTTGGCACTATCTGCTCAGTAAGGCTATCAAGCTGACGTTGGGCGACCGACGCATAATCCTCTGTATACTCACTGTCCTGTTGTCCAAACTCTGATAGACACTCCACTGCTGCAACATTAACCCTTTCACTGTTTGTCAGATTGCTGTGTGGAAAAAGTCCTGATAATGAATAATTTTAAGTGTAATCTACTGTCAACAGAACCCTTTAAAACTGAAGGCAATTTTACTTGGCTCTCCACAGGAATGTAATGGATAGTATCCTATATTGTCTTATCATCTGGGGTGTACTCACAAGAAGCTTTGACAAGGTTCACATTGGTGGCTTCAATAAGTTCCGTCCCGATACTCCCGTCAGTAGCTAGAGCTGCCGAGAGCCCTGCAATGCTTTCTTTGCTGCCTAGCTGAGATGCATCATCATGCTGTGCATTGGTAACTGAAACCTAGATCACACAAAGTGAATGAGCATGTTTATTACCCTCTACGTGGTACCATGTTTGTCTATAACATAAAAAATTGTTCTTTTGGACTTTGTACATTTTCTAACTTATAAAAAATAAAACCAACACTAGGAAACTAGATTCTGCTTCCATCTTCAGATAAAACAGGAAAAAAATAGGTCAGAAAGCCTGTTGGGCCCTCTTAACCACCCCTGGTTGAAAGGGACTCTTTTTTACCTGAATAAGGACGTAGAATCCAACTTCGAAAACATTATAATTTTATTATTTTATAATCTATATGATGCAAAAAGTCCAGAAGAACAGTTTTATGTATTATGTAACATCATCAAAAACCTTCAATGTTCAATATATATATATATATATATATATGTCTATGCTCACTCTAAGGTTAAGCACAAGTTCTTAATAAATAATAAATAAATCTTATATCAACTACGTTCACTGCTTACTGAAATATGTAACCAATGTTTCTGTTTGATTTGTTACTTCATGCTGTATTTCTAATAACTATCACTTCAATAAAATACCTAAACAAAATCCCACATATTTCCACCTAAAGACAAAGACTTTCATTTCTCAGACCATCCTGCCACCCCAAAATAACAATCACAGCGAAAGCCTTAAAAATTTGTGGTATATTTATGTAACATAAGGCACCACATCTTTATATGTAATTCTGTCTTCTACTAAATAACACTGTGAGTGAATAAAAGTACTAATGTGAAAGGAAATGTCACAATGATGTCTGAAAGAAACTGCTTGAATATGCTTGTTTTTGAGTTGTCATAGCAGCAACGTTCTTAGTCTAAAACATAATAACCTACTTTGCCATGTATAAAAGTAGGAATACATGTTACAGTAGCTCACAAATGAGCAAATGGTCTTTTCAATTCTGAAAGTTTGTGAAGATGGTGCATTGTTGTTTCTGGACATTATCCAACGCTCAAGACTAAATAAAACCAATAAAATTACAAAGTTTCGGAGATGGGAGTCTATCTCCGTCTTCAGGTAAAACCTACTGTTTCACCTGAAGACGGAGATATACTCCCATTTCCGAAACGTCGTGGTTTTATTTCGTCTTGGACGATGGATAATGTCCAGAATACAGTTTGCTTCAAGTGGTTTTTTGTTTTAAATTACTCCTTCCAATCTGTAAGTGCTGATTATATTCAGATTTGAATGTATAAAACATACCTAGTATTTAGCATGCAATATAAATTATTTTATAAAGCAAATCATGATATATTTCATCACAATGACAATGACAAAGGATCAGAATAACAGTGTCTAAATGTCAGACTGAGATTCATTTTCTGAGCCTGTGATGCCCTAACAATCAAATTTATTTTACGTAAATTATATAACAATTTTCATCAATCCAACACTAGGCTGGACTGTGATTCCTAGAAATCAGAAGATAAACTAAGAAATTTTGACTTCAATTACAAAACTTTCCAAGGTTCCAGTAGCAAACACAATGTTTACCTCACCTTTGGAAGATGAAAATCTGTCAACTCTGTCTCCACACCTGCCAAAACTACATCTTCAAGAGCTCCATCACTGCAGTCTGACAAATCTGACACTTCCTCTGCATCTCTGTCCCCAATGCGAGCTTTAAAGTCCTCACTGGGGTTTGGTACCAGCATTGGCACAGGCATGGGAGCCCGCTTGACAGAGCCAGTGACACCACCTGCTTTTAAGCGTCGGCGCTGGAACAGCCAGTTTTCTTCCCAAGAATTCATAGGACTGACGAGATCAGTCGGATGTGGGGACTGAGATGAATCCGAGTGCTCGTCTTCATCATAGTCCTCCTCCTTTGCTCCTGTAATATAGGAACAATTGTGACTTCAGCAACAGTTAAATCTAAAACCAAATCTGAAGACCACATTTTTCAAATTCATTCCTTCACCCTCTCCCTCTCTCACATGCATGCGTGCGCACGCGTATACACACACACACACACACACACACAAAACATTCACTAATACATTTAAATAAACAGATTAGCAATGTCTAGGACACTTTATATTTGAATTCATCTTTGAGTTCTTTGAATTCAGAATTGCCTCATCACAGTCCCACTGCATACAGATTGTAACACACCATCCACAATGTCGACACCAAGTTCAGGGAATGGCACACGCTGCTGCTTGATGAAGTTGAGGCCAGACAGGTAGAAATCAAGCTCTGAACTGGTTGTAGCCATGCCATCACTGATCCCATCCCCTTCCTCCTCACCTGCACTGTCACATACTGTCACCTCTTCCTCTATGCACTCCTCAATCTGCAGACAATAAGCATCACTTACAGACTCAGCCAGAACTATGAATAACTTCACAATTCTCCTCAGTCACACCTTACAAATCCTGAAATTGGTGTTGGCCATTTTCTGCTCAGTTATTTACATTTCACCTTAGATATTCATCCTCTCACATCATCCAATGACGTAAAATCTTTGAAGCTGACATATGAACATAGACATGTTATTAATATCATATTCAGCAACAGGGACAGCCCCCACTTCAAATTCTGGCAAAGAGTAGGCTCACTAATGACCACAATGGGAATATCATTTTCCTGGGGCATGATGGTTTCTGAGCCAAGGGAAAGCAGAAAAAACAGTTGGGATATTATGAATTCAGGTTCCTGTAAAACATATACTTGTAAGAATGCCTATGCACAGTTTTTGGCTTCAGAATTAATTTATGATTTAGGTTTTGAGGGGTCACAGTCTGCAGATGTTTGTGGACACTTGACACAACAGGTTTATGCCAGACCTCTTTACAGATATTAGTGTTTGGACAATGAAAGCATAAATAATGTACTTTTTTACTAATACCAAGACTTCCCTCAATGGCAAAACATTGACAAATATTCACATCTAATGTCCTGTACTTTTTGCCTCACAAATTATGTGCTGTAATCTCAATTATCACTGCTATTCACATGCAGATGCTTATACATAGTTTACTTTGAGTTTTAGTCATTTACTAGAAGAAGAGATGGAGAAAAACAAAGAAGTCAGATAACATCTTAGACACTTATTCGATCATCTAAACCAATTTTCAATACTGAATCTTATAGATGTCACTTGATTCAAGTGTCAATTCTTTTTCTGCACTCTCTTCTGGTACCACCCTATTATCTTCACACTTTTGGGGTGGAAGCAGTCTTAGGGCATGATTCCATTTATTCCCAATAAAAGCTGATTGTAATGACCTAGTATTCCTTATATTCACAGTTTCAAAAAAAATTTATCTGCGGTATCTAATTGTTTAATTGACTTCCTGACCTCTCCCTCACTGAGATGAGTAGAAGAATTCACTTCAGAGGTGGGAGTACCCATAAACATAGATGGTTGGTCACTGATGAAGAAAAATAACTCTACAGCTTAAATTGGCTGTAGGCCATAGTCAGACAGAAATGGGTACTAACTTACAGTCATAGAGAGGGGCTCAGTGTGACTTGAATCACTCCAGCTCCTGAGGCCCTCTTGTGAGGAAGAATCATCATCATCATGGTTATTCACTCCAATCTCAACTCGACCTGCAGAAAGACATACATGAACTGCTTGAAAAGTACAACAGAATACAAGCCAGTAACTGTGCTGCCCTCAGTCTCCATTCTATTCACACGGTTACAATCAATTCTTAAGCCAACTCATGTACATCACTGAATTTGAGACTAGACAAATTCCAGAAAAAATAGGGTACACAGCGCAACAACCCAGAAGACAGCAATCTCTATTTTTAATAAACTTGCTGATCAAGTGGTCTGGTTAAAAAGTCTTACCTACTGCATGTTGGATGCTAATATATCACTGATCCTAGATAATAAGAATGGACTGGTATACTATTTAGAGTACACATAAGTTCCAAAAGTGTTCTTTAAGCCATACACTGCTTAATGTTATCTCCTTATACGTATATAAGATGGAGCAGGCAATTATAAAAGACACGTTCCACTTGCTATCATTACGCTTTTCATGTCCTCACATGTTTATTGAACATGTATTGCAAAGAGATAATTATTTTTTTATATTGAACCACAAATAATTAGATTATCACTGACAAGTGACTGCAATGGTAAAGACAATATCTTTCAGCCAATTAATGTAATTAAAAGTAATTCATATAACCACTGATGGCAGCATAAATAGTATGTTTACTGACAAATGGCATTACAGATAATGCTGTCTTCACAGAGAATCATCCTCCTGCCTCATAAATTTGAGCATCCACCACATTGGTAAGATTGACTGTAGGTAATTAAGAGGCACAAATTTGGAACAGTGTCTAACGGCACAAACATGTAGTTCGTAAGTTTAGACAGACAGATGAAAACATGAAAAGATGTGGACATACAGACATTCAGCCAAATGGCAGCAAATTAATCTAGTGAGCAAGCCCAGATGGGCCAAAGACCATGGGATCAAGTCTAGTAGGCAAAGCCCCAACAGCAGCACCATGCACATGGGGCTAAGACCCAGATGCAAGCATGTTTGGTAAAGCCCCATGGGAAACAAGCCAGTTGTGAGTACATTTAGGGGGGGGAAAGCCTGTCTCCAAGCAATGCAACCTCCAGAGGTCCAGAGGTGACCTAGGGCCATGGATGAACAAGCCTCTGGGGCCAATCCTAGTAGACCACATGTAGCAAAAATGGTGTAGAGCCCATAAGGTGCTCTTCACTTATGCCAAAATGTAGAGAACACCTAATGATAACAATGATAGTAACAACAAAAGCACATCAACTGACTGCCATAAAGAATGCTGATGCTTACTTATGTACTTTGGTGCTTGCTCCATTCTGCTTGGTGCCAGAACCACGCCGGTCTTCTGCTGGAACTGCTCAATCACCTAGCGACAACAAATGACACTAGTATCACTCCAAACTTGTAAGTTTTTGTGTCTGTTATGTTGGTAAATATGTAATAGATGACTGACTGATTCTTGAGTTATCTGATTGCAATGTTTATGTAGCAAAGATTGTGAATGATTAAGTGAAAATGCTGTGGAAGGAAGTGATTGTGGCCTATTGTACCTGCTTAAATAAACTGAGGAAAACCATTAAAATCATTAATCCTGATATTCAGATCCAGAACAACATTCAAATTCAGTTACTCAACCACAGAATTTAGAATAAAGTATAGACATAGGATAGCATGCAAGTTTCAAAATGAATATTTCATTTAATTCAATATAAGTTGTAAATATGAAGTTCTGTTCTATCACAAGCTCAGTGAAACAGTAGGATGTACCTTGTTCAGGATTGCTGTAGCCAGAATATCTTCATAAGTCATGGACGTGATGTCGTCATCCCACTTATGGAAGGCGGTCCCATTTTGCATAGGTACTTGGCTCTGAAAGGACAAAATAGACTCAGTTCTCTTACGTTCATGTCGAACACCTGGCAGCAGTATTTGCTGCAAGGACTTCACACGCTTGATAAAAAAAAAAGCACAACTTACCAGAGCTATGGTCTGTGATGACAAAGATATCACCAAACAACCTGTATCAACAGCAGCAGTCGCATAACATGATGACATTGAAAACTCAACAAATTCTGCATGCCTTACATAATCACATATTCACTGTGACATATATTAAAGTGTGGAATATTATTCTAAAGTCTTTCAATATCTGCATACTAACGATTTTAAAATTTGCAGCTTGCAGTTTCAATTACATCACACAATCAGCTTATGCTGAAACAAGAATTTTTTTTAAGTAGGTTTTGAGAATTTCATGGCGGTAAGCACAAAAACAACTGACTTCTGGGTTGTAGCACCATGTAGTCCAGTAGAAGTTTACCAACATTGCAGAGGTCCTGATGACAGAGGCAGCAAGGATCTCTAAAATGGTAAAATTCTACCAGACTACACAGCACTGTAACCCAGAAGACAGCTACCTTAGTAAACTTTCTATTAAAATTTAATCATCAGAAGACAGAAAAATATTGAATGCTGTGTGCAGTACATTCAGTGACGAAGTCAAATCACAGCATGTGCATTACACAGGCTTCCTTTATGATACATTACTATAAACACATTGTCCCAAATAAGTGTTAAATGATTCTCTGTGCATAATGATCTATATATAGAGTAGTGCCATGTATTATTAGAAGAAGCTACTGTTATTGCCTATTTTACTAATAAGTCCTTTGCAATTTTGTTGTTGAAGTTTACTGGTTTAAATATAAATTTAGGCCTATTAATATTAAGTATATCAAGAGCATGTGCATTTTGTGCACGCAGTCTTAAATTATTCTATTAATAACAAATCTAATCAATATTACCATGTAGACCCTCAATACCAAATTTCATTGAAATCCAAAAAGTAGTTTCAAGACTGCATCATTCATAAACAACCTTTCCATAATGAAATTACGCCTCAGCATAGCCAATGGTGTCCCACCTTTAGGTTTGGCAGAGTCATGGCCTCCTCTATGATGCGTTGCACTCGCTGCTTCAGGGCCGCATGGACTGCAGATGGTGTTTCTTCTTCTGGCAGGGGCTTATCTGAACAGATTAGCATATTTTGTTATGCAGTAGCTCTTCTTACAGGATCATAAGTACAGACCTACATTGTGGCTTGCCCTGTCAATTAACTACAGGGATTATTAATTACCAATCCTACTGACAGACCAACCAACTCATTCACAAGCTACCTGGTCTTCCTTGTGAATTTGAGTTATTCAACTGATAAAGAATTTCCTTGCTTTATGGAACGTGAAGGTATATCACCGAGCCACACAACTGGCATCAATTGTAAGACAGTTTAATACAGCTCAAACCTATTTTTATAAAATTATTATTATCCTCACATATACCTGAAGATCTCTGAAGTGGTATCTTCCCACAAGATTCTCCACCAAAGATTTGCATTACTTTTGTGTCTCTTTATGTTTTCTACATGCTTTGTCCAATTGAATGTTGTGGAAGTTGCATGAATTTCTATAGTCCATCCTGACCTTAACATTCATAAATATCAGAATTTATTTACAGCTGAAAAATGTCTTTACATATATACCTGCAGGCAACACACAACAATTTCAAATTGCTACCACAGGCTCATGTTTTCTGTAGAACTGTCCCTAATTAAACTGATCCTTGTATTTGTCAACAACACAGGAAGCTTGCTAGAGTGGATGCAGAATAACTCTGAGCTTAGGCTATGTCACGGTAAGAGGGGGAAGGGAAGACAAAAAGGGCAGGAGCAAGATGGCAGAGCATCTGTCGGAGCATGTGTAGTATAACTGACATGTTTTCCCCTTTTATTTCAACAAAACTGGTGGCATTTTGTAACACTAACTTTTTTACTACACTGCATTTTGTGAACCAAGGGAACTATAAAACACCAGCAATGTAGGCACACGGCTTAACCCATATGACCTGCTTGTACAGCCTGAACGTTAATAATTTGACATCCAATATAACAAGCAAGGACTGAGTTCTCTTCACATCTGCTATTGTTTTGCAGTCTTACCCTCCCTCCCTCCCTCCCACATATGCATTTGTAACAGTCATCCAAGCTTAGAGTTATTTTGATTTAACTAGAAGCACTTGAATCCATTAAAATCAGCCTACAAAACACACAATACGTAGCTCCTAAACGCTTTCCTTTCTCAAAAATTATCATTAAAAATTTACAACTGTTTTCATTGTTCATGCTACATTCCCAACCTATTTGATCAAGACACCCCATTAACACCAGGAACACAAGGCTCTGCATTATGTAATTCTCTCCATCACGCTACACATCTCAATCAAAGAAATCCTCCTTCTTCTGATATTCTCACTTGGAATAAGAAAGTTTCTGAGCTCCACTTTACTTTAAGTTAGCAGGTATGCAGTTTATTGAAACATGCCTTAGCAATCTGGCAACATGCTCTATCTGATGTAGCTCTGGCAAACAACAAAACAAGTTAAAGAAATATTTGTACAACGCAAGGCTACATACTACATTAGTTTTGTAGTAGCAGTTGCTTGAAATCACAGATAAAGTTACTGTGATCCCAGAAAAATTGAATTATTATTTAATCTAAGAGTTGAATTTATTTTTCTTTGGTTATCATTGATTAAGCTCTTTGCCCATTTCCAATTGAGAATTAATTTTGAAGTACTAAATCCTTCAGACATGTGGTGACAGACCAGTCCTTTGTAAGGGCTCTACCTACACATGAAAGCACAGAACATTCACACAAATGTACCAATGTCTTGAGTGTTCAAAGTGGTCAAGCAGTCCAAGACCTTAGACTGTGTGGCAGCATCAATGCAGCAATTAAACCAACTAAACTAATTAATTAATGCTGGTCACAGTCTGGGGTTAGGGCCTTCATCATTCAGACACTGGGATTATGGGTTGAAACCCCACTCGAGCCACAGATGTTTGTCCTTGTCTTTCTGTGTTGTGCTATCCTGTGGAGGTAGAGGTCTTATGATGGGCTGATCACTCATACAAGGAATCCTACCAAATGTCTAAATGACTTAAGAAATCTCCCACATGTAAGGTGGACAAGGTCTTTCAAGGACTGTAGTCACAAAGTAAGCAAGTAAGTAAACCAATTAATTAACTAAACTAACAAAACCAAAACAGAAACTGAATATGAAGGTTCAAAATCAACAGAAAAGTCATTAATAAAATCTTAGAGGGTCAGCAGCCACATCACTTGGTTACACTCTGCCGATGTTTCGAGGACCATCTCCATCCTCATTTTCAAGACTAGCCATGACCAAGTAATGTAGCTGCTAGCCCTTTAAGATTTTATTAATGGCATCCGCCATGAAAGCTTCACATCATACAACACAAAAGTCTATTACTGAATTACTCAGTGATACATGACATCTCATGTTTAATGAAACATATTTGTCTGTATGCGACATACAAGATTAACTGATAGTATAAAAACTGAAGAGAAGATACAGATACTGTCAAAACAAAATTTCAAACTTGAAGATGTAGACAGAATTTTTTTTTGCATCAGTACAGGGTGTTATACAACAAATCATGTTTAAACAAATGCTTGCATATCAGACAAGCACTGTGCTTCGTCATGTCAGACAGAGCCACAAGCTATCCATACTGTAAACCTGTTCACTTACTGGTGATTGCCATCTGCAAGGCGAATGACAGGCGAACGAGGTTCTCACACAGCGCAGTATGATGGCAGGCAAACATGCGGTCATCTGCAAACAACCACAACCAGCATTGCCCCAGAGGTTAGTACCACAAGCACCCTTACATTCCCAGTGCTCCAAACAGCTGTTAGATGGGACCAGCATGCCTAATGCATATCAAGTATTTTACTTATTATGCATTCTTTTTATGACGTGCATATAGGGCTGACAATGTCTGTCTATCCACATAGTTCAACAAAAGAACCACTCGATGGTTTTGGATGACATTATACGTTATACCACTGTGATCTACCCTAAAACCATACTTCTCAATACCCTGTGATCGGTAATACCAACATGGCAGATGAACAAATATGTGAGATGGGATCAACACTAGTGCCACTTGCAACAGGGTCATATGATGATATAACATTACAGATTTTTTGAAAAAAAGAACTTTGAAAAATGTAAAATAACAACATGGTGGTTGCATGGAACCAAAATAATTTAGGCATGACTAGGATTCAATATGTAGTAAAATTTGAGGTTTTCATGGCAGTGAGTCTGAAGATAGCTGTATTCTGGGTTGTTGAGCCATGTAGTCTGGTAGAAGACTACACGGCACAACAACCCAGAATACGGATATCTTCAGACTCACTGCCATAACCACATCCACATGAGTTCAGATGTTACCAGAGCTTAGTAGACTGCATGGCTGCCATTATGATACGTATTACTGATGGTAGCAAATTAAAAAGCATTTAGTTGGAATGTATCCAATGGCGCAACATCCATATCAAGTTTAAATAAAACCATATAATATGGTTCAGAAGAGAAAAAACACACTCACACGCACACATGCACACACCATAAGCATAATTTTCCTGCATGCTCCTGAATATATAACAAGAGTTACAGTAAACTCCCTTTCTAAGGTTTTCAGAAATTATTTAGTAATGCTGTATCAACCATTGATGTTGATTCCAGTAGTATAGATTATAATGAATAATCATGAGAGTGATTCAAAGCAAGAACTACATAACAGGAACTTATGAACTGCAAGGTTTAGGCCAAATATGCTGCTGTTCAAAGCACTGGAGCACCTCCACCCTGAACAGAATCAAGCAGTTGCAACATCATTAGGAGAACAAGCAACTTCATTACATGTATGTACTATTTATTTCTCATAAATGATGGACCAATGTAATTTGGATTCATGTACAGGGATTGTGAAAGTGAGTGAAACCATTACATTTGGTGATATTTAATGAGCTAAACAAAATTAATTAAATATACAGAAACACATCAAGTTTTGTCTGCAGTATAAACTTTCAATAGCAACTCTTAAAATTTATTCCAATAACTACGATGATTGTAGCAGAGATGGTTCTTTAACAAAACTCACACTACCATCTAAATTGAATGTGGTAATGCATCCTCTTAAAAAGTACAGAACCACAAAGCCCTCCCTTAGTTAGGGTCACAGCTACAGCTACAGCTTCAGCAAGTTCAGGCAAATCATACTGAGCAGAAAGTAGCAAACAACTTTATTTTTAAAGGCAACACATTCACTTTGGTGAGATGCGTGCAACTTGCACACTGATGAGAGGATTTTCACTACCTCAGCCATGATATTCTGTTTCCTCACAGTTAGACATAGGTGGCATGCAGCTGCATCATTGATGACGACGTTTGTGTCGCACACCTCATCTTTTGTTCCAGTACAACAATTAAGTTCCCACAGAAGGTGCCCCTTCCACCTTGTCTTCTTCTAAAATAATCTGCACTATATGCAGCATGTAAGGTTTGAAGTGAAGTCTCTTACGGGGTAGATTCCAGCTGGTTTTGGACTTCCTATGTCAATACGACCTCTTAGGTTTGACTTATTTGGACACTGAATAAATAGTTCTTTATGGACAGCCAGGGTTTCTTTTATCTTGGTAGATTCTTCATTTCCAAGGTTGTCACAGCAATGTCTGATGTCATTCCTTCTAGAACATTGTTCAGAACCAGTGCTGAACTGCAGTCTCAAATTCTGATTCACAATATCAATGACAGCATCAAACTTTCTTAAGCTCTAGTGCCTTTTATGAAGTAGCAGGAAACAAACTGTCATTCAAAAGCTGGAAACTTAACATGTTTCTGTACATTTATGAAGTCCCTGAATGCTGTAACTGCTCTAGTAAACAAAATTTTATTAACTTAATCATTTTCAAAAGCTGTGTACTTTTCAGCTGCCATCCATAAACTACACAACCAGCTGGTAGTATTTCAGATGATGGATTCTTGCCAGATGTATCAATAAAAAAAAACAGGCTTTTGGTAGTGGTATAAAATTATGCTGATTTTTCATAAAATATGGGCCTTTGATTTCATCTAGTTTTGCTTTCTAATAAAATTACATGGCATATAAATCTCTGTATAACATTTCAACGCTTTCGATAACTTAGACCAGTGTGGTCCAACTGGTGGCCTGCAGGCCAAATCTGGCCTGCGACCATTCGTAATCCGGCCTGCAAAAATATTTGTTAATTTGTTACTAGTTAGTACAAACCCATTTACTTTCCTTACTCCTAAGGATTTGCAAAAATAATTGTTGCAGGAGCAAATTTAAAATAATATACAACTCTATAGTAGTTTGTGCACATTTAAATAAAATTTATATTTCAGCATATGAAATGGTAATTTTTACACATTGTTTGATGGTAAAATATCTAAAAACTAAAAATCAGCAAACTTACATTGAGTGTACAGGACATTTTTGGGAGGTACTGGAGGAAAAAGGGGTGTGCATTATATTTGAGCAAATGCACTGCTACTGGGGCTGCACTACACACTAAACTTCAATTTTCCTATATGTTTTCATTGTGATGTCAATAAATAACATGGGTAACTTTACTTTTACGTCAAACATCCTCCTTGCTTGCAAATTAATGTAAAATGTCCTTAATGCCCAACAAACTACCCACAAATTTCTCAGGCAGTCTTAGCCCTGTGGTACTTTCACCCTTTAAATCCTAGAGATAACTGTAAGAACTACCATTTTTAACAAACAATAATTCTGTGTTTTTACCCACAGAGTGTGTTTATCATTGTCACATGATTTCCAGAGTAAACAGCAATTATTTTCTTAAGCAGAATTAACCAACTGATCTTTAAAGTGGTTACAGGTTGAGTTTTCTTTGAAGCTCGGAATAAATACTTAAATATTATTATGATAAGCTTCATCTTTGAGGGGTTAAATAAAGCAATGAAATATTTAGACAAATCAAAATGTCATTACCCATCCCTTTGTAACTATTTCTGAATATGTCTGCCACATACCCGATGCTAAATTTATTTAGAAAGTTCAAAAAAATTACAAAAATAAATTATGTTTTGAATATGATAACTAATTTACAAATGTCCTGCGAGGGAGTACTAGTATATATCACGACAGTTCCAATAAGCTGCTGCGTCGCCAACAAATGTCAATAGAATGCATGCACTCTTTCAATAATAAATATTCTACTAATTAGAGCTAGGCAGGAGAATCATATAAGCAGTTCCAAATGTTTGTCAAAAGAAACATTTCATGGCTGGATAAATGCATGTCACAAATAAATTACAAAGTTACAAGACAGAATATCCCAGGCATAAACAGATGGGGCACCTGATACTAGGCTAGTATGTCCTGGATGTAACAGTCAAAGGGTTTCATCGCCCTGATGACGGAGGCAGTATGACCTCTGAAACGTTGGTTAACATCGACCAGACTACACAGCGCAACAACCCAGGAGACAGAAATCTTCAGTCAAAGGGTTTTTAAACTTTTTCTCACTTTACTGTGACAAAAATTATTTACGTGCTGTGGCCCAACTTTAAAACTCCATAGCAAATTGAGCAAATGGAGCCACTAACATGAAAATGTCCGAACAGGAGCTAACATAATCCGTTTTGATTACTTTCGGCAAACATAAATTAAAGTTTTAGATTTTAGTAAACACCAAATTTAAACAAACACACAAAAAACATCTTAATTGACAACAGACTCATTAAAGGTGATGTTGCATCTAATCAACAGAGTATAGATAATGTCAGTATGAAGGTTGGGAAACCTATTATCAGACATCAACTTTTTGTACCCAGTCATGTCAAAAAACAAGGTGACAGCACTGATTAGTGGCTATGAAATCAGATAAAAATAAGCCTGTATCATGTCAACAGGATCAAGTCTCAGGGAGGAAACTCATTAATGATAAATTGCTACTCTGTCAACACACTGGAATGTGATTCAAGCACCTCTTGTACATGGAATACAAATCAAATGTTACAGGTGAGTCCTTAATGACTTTATGACCTTACCGGATGCCCAAAACAAAAATGAAGGAAACAGATACACAGGATTAAACACCAACAGTCTGTGAGTAATGCCTGTAACACGTAGGGCAGTCAAACAGTTCCCAGAATTGTGGTATAGCACGATAATGGTAGGACATATGTCAACGCTTACCTAATCATCTTCAAAGTAGGGCCTTGTGCACACGCACACACTCGCTCCATCGATCCTGCCATTGTTGGAAGCACCGGCTAAAGGCTTCGGTTTGAATCTTCCAGAGTTCGGCCGTCACATTCAACACCTCACTGGTTGTGCAGCAATCCCTCGCCGAGAAAAGCATTCCCGTCATCACCCAACCACCATACTCTCCGGATCTCGCTCCAAGTGACTTCTGGCTGTTCCCTACTCTGAAAATGGGCCTCAAGGGGGTGCGTTTCACAACCATGGAGGACATCAAATTGAATGCGACGGCCGAACTCTGGAAGATTCCAAACGAAGCCTTCCGCCGGTGCTTCCAACAATGGCAGGATCAATGGAGCAAGTGTGTGTGTGCGCAAGGGTCTTACTTTGAAGGTGATTAGGTAAGCGTTGCCATATGTCCTACCATTACAGTGCTATACCACAATTCCAGGAACTTTTTGACTGCCCCTCATATATGATGGGTGCACAAAGATTAACTACAGATAACAAGAAGGTTCACAGATTTACAAAGGCCCTAGAGAGGGCCCAACAGCTTGATAAGGAGACCGATAATCCTAAAAGTTATGCCACGACTCAGACCTTACCGAGGGGAGCTTCACATTATCAGCACCTGCAACTTCACAACGGTAAGTCATACAGCTCAGACGGAGGACTTTAAGTTTACAAAGGCTACAATATGTGGTGCTGGTACAGAATTCCCTACATTTGCAATGGTTTGGACAAATGAGCAATGGAAAGAACATTTAGAGAAATCCATACAGGTTCTGTAGGATTTGAGGTTTTCACAGCGGCAAGTCTGAAGATGGCTGTCTTCTGGTTTGCTGAGCCATGTGCTCTGGTAGACTACACGGCACAACAACCCAGACAACAAGACAGCCATCTTCAAATCCATACAGGATTCATTCACAGACTTCTGGCACTGGATGGTGGCTGCTTACACTACATGAACCTAATTATTTAAAAAATAAAAAATTAGGAGAAAATCCCTGAATGAAGGCTGAAGAATATACTCACTGTACTAACAGAACAAGATACTTTGTGTGGTAGTGGTTAGTATTCCTGCTTTCTATTAAAATCTTGGTCCAGAGACCAGCTATTCCAAATGAAATTTTCCAGGATTTTTTCTAGTCCCACGTACTTCCCAATTCATCATTAAAATGCTACCAATGAATGCTATGTAACCTAGGCACCATTCAGTAAACAGACAGGAGCAGATACAAAATAAAACTGTGTTGATACATGGTAGAGAATCCATACACTGTTCATCAGAAAGCATTAACATACGATTAAAATACACTCTGTAGGAAGAGGAATAAGCTAAATGCAAGTAACCCTAGAGTTAAAAGTCTGGATGACAGCTCTGATTTATGGGGTGTAAACCCCATATTCCAGTATGATAAATATAAATGCAGATTCATAATTTAATATGGCAACTGAGATGAGTTTGTATTATTCAGTGACTCTTAATGCATAATGCAAGATGGCTGTAGTGTCCTTATCTTAAGGCTTTGTGAGAACTCCCATGAGACACATGTCCAACCAAATACTTTAGATGGCTGGTAAAATGCGGGTCTATAAATTCAGTGTCAACTGTAAGCATTCTGGACATTCAATTCTCCACGTGATACTCACATTCTGGATGTGTGTACACACGGTTCACTTTGACATCATCCAGTTGGCCAGAGACTAGTGCCTCTACCAACCGCTCAATGAACTCTCGTACCTGAGCCGAATCAGGGTCCATAGCAGCCCCATTCTCTTGGGCTGCAAACAGAGAAAGTGAATCAGCAAACAGGGCCCAGATAGCAGATGGTGATAACACAACAGTGAGATCTGCTGCCTTCCTCATAAAATTCCAGCAGCCGGGCAGAAGTTGAGGCAGTGACGAGAGAAACGATCACCAAAGTTATCCCTCACAGAATAAGACCCATGATAATGTGACAGACACTTTCTAATTTTAAAGATATCTTATTCCTCTGAGTTTATATTCTATAATTCTTTGAGCAGGAACATTTCAGAAGAATTCTTTCTTACCACGCATTGTACAACTATTCTTATAATGTCATACAGTCTCTCAGTGTCGCTATGGATTCACCATATAGACAAAGAGCAGACTAACAAATTCTGTAAAATATCGACAAAGAGCAGAACTACTGGAAGGAGGAACCAAGGATAATGGTAGCCATAAACAAACAACTGGACAATTGAAGTTGACATGGTTCATAAAATGGCAAAGCCCTTGAATGTTTAAAGATGATACAATTATTCAGTCTCTTATTTTATACTTAAGTAACCTTTATATTAATTTACTACAGATATACAGCTGTAAAGGAAGTCATCCTACAGATAATATATGGTAAATTGTTTTATACCAGTACTGTACTTTATATTCCATTAATTATTCATTAAATTAAAAGAATGCTTTAAATAAAAGATTCATATGTGAGCTATATTCAGTGTCTCTTTATGACAATAAACTGATTTTGAGAAAAATATTCAATTTCAGTTTCTTCATAAATAGGTGTTATATTAATACAAAGGAAAATTAATTCATCCAACTTTACTGCAGATTCCCAATACCAAACTTAACTAAAATCAACTTAGTTTGATGGAGATCGTGCTGTTGCCACATACCTATGTTGTTCTCTGTGATGTTTGCTGTCCTGAAGAAACGGCTCTGTAAGTGCCTGTAGAACCAGTCTCCAGACTGCAGCTTCAAGTCCCTAAAATTACAACATTGTCAATAACAGAACAACAGGAGTGTACAACATTGCTATAACAGCCATAAAAGGGTGCTCCAAAGTCTTAGTTGAGGTCACACTTATTGGGCACAGTACTCCTCAAAGATATCAACTTGTATGATTGTTCCTTCTGGGGTAAAGGCAACATTGTCATCAAAATAATTTATTGTACATATAGTTATTTAACAATGCTGTCAGTAGTTTACACCATATAATTTCAAATCATAAGAATTTAAATAAAATATTGTCCCTTAATGACACATGCCAATCAATAATTTTATCATTAATATGAATAACCACTTGGTAAAGTCAAATAATTAGGCAATTATAAACAACACAAAGCCAGGTTGCTTTGTTTCTGTGTAATGCCACAGCAGCTTCTTTACACAGCCAGCTCTGTTATATTATGTCTAGGATTTATATATTCTGACATTTGTTGTTGCATGCATGAACTGAAAAGTGACAGTAGGTTTAAAATATGATTAGAAGTACAAACAAAAACATCTGTGTAACCGATGTTTTAATCGTGTCTTTTTGTAACAGAGTTGGTATGCCTAAGATCATACGTATTGAGATTTGGTACAGCCTATGAATTCCAGAGCATTTAGACTGTACTAATGAATACAGTGAGAATTGAAACTAATCAACTAACTCTGTGGAGCAGAGTACTTGAAAAACTCATAGTACACCCAGCTAATCAAAATATTCCCTGCCTTTTATGAAACCCAAATGTTCATTACCTTGTTCACAAGAGCCCACCACTGGTCCATATCCTGAGCCATACACTCAATCTCCATCCCCAAACTCTACATCCCCAAGACCCATTTTATTATTACCCTCCCATCTATTCTGAGATCTTCTGAGAGGTTCTTCTCTTCAGGCTTTAAAACCAGAATTGTGTGCACATTTGTTGTTTTTCCCATGCACTGTACATGCCCGACCTATCTCATCCTCACTGGTTTGCAAATAATAACAATAACAACACACAGTTCAAGAACTTCATTCAGTTCTAAAATTTACTTTGCACACTACCTCGCAGTATTGGTATGATGCCATGGAAAAAAATATAAACACGTGTATCACATGCTTGTTGACTCTTCATATCGTTGCCACAGTCACTTTTTTACACGCGTCAATCTCCCCCGTTTTTATAGTTCGTTTGTTGCAGAACTATATGATTCGACCAGAAATGGTCACCGTGAAGTTCATGTTTGTGGTAGTACCTGTTGCATCTTTAGAAAAGTGTTTCCTGTACCGTGCGCTGACCAAATGGGAAATTCACATATGATAAAAATGTTTCTGAGCAGCGAAAGTAGAACCTTCTCTTTCACTTACTTCGTAGTACACAACCTGGCTCAGGCGCTACCAACTCATCAACAAAACTGTCCCTAGTAACGTCAATGTGACGTATCCTCCCTCACCTACGACGGACGCAGACAGAGCAGTTGCGTTCTGACGTCGAGGTTTCGCATTGCGGGCATCCGACGTCCTCACCCTCCGTCTTCAGTGAGGAGCGCAGCTGACTAGAGAACGAACAAGCAAACATTTTATAGGCTTCTCGAGTAGGTGATAAGTAAAACGGACGGACTTTGTTAATGTTCATACGTGAAGAAATAAAGCGATTAGTTGCGTCTTATTTTCGAGTAGGTAGCAAGCAAAGCGGTCAGACATTGACAATATAAATGGAATCATCGAACACTGAAGTAACTAACCAAACGCGGTAGTTTGGTACGTATTAAATATAATCGAACAACAAGCCACACGTTAATTGGCAATACATAAAGTAGCATAACGAATATTCAAGCCGAGAAACCAGTCTTTTAGGCGAATCTCATACTCAAGCGTGATAAAATATAAACAAATTGGGCAAAATAATTCCACACATTGAGGCCAATAAAGCAGATAAAGCGTCTTACGTTTCAGTGACGGTGAGGGGTGGCTGAAGTTCTGTTATTTCTGTTTGCACTTATTCCTTTCGACTATTTCCAAACTTTGGCCTGTATCCAGCCATGGACTGATCACAATATCTGAACTGTACCACACGAATTACTACTACTAAACATGAGCATATAAATCAACCAGGGTAGATAAAATCTAATGCAACCAGAGACACGGAATTACTGCAGTTCATCTGTTTCGGAAATATATTAAATTTCCCTGGTTTCATTTCAGGAGATGAGAAGGTTGCTAGAACTGTTAACTGCTGAATGGATTTTCGTCTTTGTATCATAAAACTTCCCTCTTCCAACTAAACAACGCTACCTTTCATGGCTTTGATATGATCAGCACCCAGAGACCACAGGTGCAAGCATACCGGAAGTATTTCAACAGCCTCTGTCCTTCTTCCGGCGAAAATAAAACATGACAATGTGTCGCGTGGGAAACGCAGAAGGACGTGTTATCTAGCACAGTAGTTGCCATATCCGGTATGCGTGCCAAGAGAAAGAATAAACCCTGGATGCTTTTCAGATGTTTCTTGGAACACGTCTCTTATGCAGGAATAATCTTCTTCAAACTTCGGACACTACAATACCGGTATACTTCTGTGCTGAAATCGATTTCAGTATTTTATGAGAAGTGTCCCGTTGAATTGTTGAACGCTGTAAAGCAAAATGTGTAAATATGAGGGAGGCTGGTAATGATAGCCAGAAATAGCGGTTATTAATATTTTCATTTAACTCATATAACGCCAGTAACGGATACAATCACATGTGGAATTTGCAAGGACTTCGTCCATTGTATTTATACCAATAATTTTTGTTGTTAACATAATAGTTATGTATAAAATAAAGTATGGACATTTTAATTATTATTTGCTTCAAGATTCTTCACAATTTTTGTCAGCTGGCAGTCCTATCAACAACAACTGAACTACCGAAGAACCAAGAAAGTTTCTAAATTGTCGGTATAAGACTATTCCGATGTCCGTACAGTTGAAGCGCGAATAGAAGATTAATTATGGTTACAAGTAGCCTCCTCAGCGTATTCACAAGAAACTGGCCCTGATCAGACAGACTGTGCCCGTTCTTGAATGAGAATCAAACTCCTAAACCGTTTCTTCCAATACGTCAACCATTAGGGTCATAAATTTCAAGCCATGTCAGTCCATCAATATTCCACAAGTGTGAACGCCGGTTAGCCGGAGCCACTTGTGGAGCGCCACTTCCTTCAAAGGCGAACTTTCTGCCGAGACCCTCATTGCATTGTGATTCTTCAATGGTTCATCATCGGAAATGGACGAGGTGTAACGAACAGGAAATGACCGGTAATCGCGAAGCGTATTAGCTAGTAACGAACCCACTGCATGACAGTCTTCCTTATTCAGTCGTAGACAGGCGTGTGTCCTAAAAAGTAAACATTCCGGGGCCCTCTTGGCACGTAGGTTCTGGTTGAAAGAAATGGGCATCGGAGCTGTAGTACAGCCAGTAGACCAACATCGACGTCTTCACCGCCGAGATAACCTCAAATTTTATATAGAACTACGTCATGTATACAATAAACAAAACTTTTTAAAAAATCTGATTAAATACTTCATTCATGTCTTATAGAATTCGCAGAAAATTGCCCGTCAAGAATGAAAAGAAAATCTAAAGCAGTATAGAACATCATATAAAAATTAAATTTACTGCTTATCTTCGCTTAACTACGAAAGCTGCGAAGCGTTAACACGTAATAATGTGTTTTGATGCGTTTTATTAAACACAGTTGGCTATGGATGAGTGAACAATCTTTTTTCATTGCGTTGTTTCCTAAGAGCAGCAAATAATTAAAATGAAGTGACGTCGTATAACAAAACATTAAAATCATTACGTATCTTTACATAATTAAAGAATATAATATGATTTAACACAGTTAAATTCCAAACACGAAATTACATGGAAGTTATTATAACTGTGCTGCGATATATCGAAATACGTGCACATTGCAAGCTATCGATGAATAATCGCTAACCAGCACCTGCCCTATATATATATAGGTATAGATAAGGTATTTATTACATGGCAAAATTCTCTTATTTCAACTAGTTAGATTAAAAAAAGGGAGTCTGACCAACATCACACAAACCTGACAGTCGGAAAGTTCCTGACCTCTTCAATATTCTCTATGTTGGCTGCTTGCTTTCAAATAACAAGTCGAAGAAGATTATCCACTTTGGTACTAAGGTCCTCTGTTAGTGCTCGATGTACTTCGGAGAACTTTAAGATACTCTGAAGCGGGATGTTGATTCAGCAAGTGGCATAGGTACAGACCATAATGAAGGGCAAATTTCTCTAGAGGAATATTCCAAAATGCAGGGACAGTGCCTGTTTTAACTTTCCTTGCAGATGCGTGTCCCTTTGAAGGTCGGTGGGTTATATTTTATGTATTTTATGTTCTTCAGAACAAGAGATGCTGTATTTTTAAATATCTTCAGTTGATTTCTTCAATGGATTTTTTAGTTAGGCGGAAGGAACCTCGAAATCTTACAAAAATATAGCAAATCGATAATTCATCTCATCTTGGAGTTCAATCAGCAGATTTGTGAAACAATGTCAACAATAATTTCTTCTGTATTTTTTTTCTAATAAAAGCCTCGAATCGTGGAAAATTCGTAAAAATCCTCTATTTCTTCTACGTGTATTTTAGTTTTTCTTTCAAATAAAAATACTATGCTCCTTTCAACCACCGGTTAAAACTACCTACTTAAGTACAACTAGCAACACGTTCACTAAGAAACTGCTTAATGTTATCATGAAGTTCGTAAAATCGATCCAAAGCCTTTCATTTATCAAGCCAACGTACCTCTGAATGGCACACAAATCCTCCATATCTTGCAGGACTTAAGTTCCTTAAAAAAACTTCTGAAGGATTCGGTGATAGAGATCTTTCACAAATCTTTATCGGACTTTGATACTACGTTCTCCACACAAATAATAAAATAGCATAACAACGAACTCGACTTATTAAAGTATTTCTTCATGAAGAAATGAAACCAGCATTATTGAAGTTATGAAGGACAACCATCAGTATTCTGCAGTTTAAGCTCACGTCTCTCGAAAAAATAAAATTACATAATCTTAAAATAGTCTATTGACCGAATTTGACCTAAATTGTTATGAGTGATTGAAATTCGTTTTTAATGATTTGTCTTAATAAGTAGTAAAAATCTGTTGAATATTCCAGGGAAACACAAAATCACTCACAGTCTCATAATTCAGCGATAATCTTTGAAAATAAATCTTCAGATAGATGTTCGACCCTTGTGGCACAACGCTGTATCAGATTACTGCAAGATTCTTGCTTCCTGAATAATCCGTTCATCGTTTCGGTACTTTGCAAACAGTGTATTGTACGTACACCCTTAGCAATTATCTTGAAAAAGCTGATGCCCTTAATATACATTTCGTCCTTTTTCCTTTCGTAAGCTTATTAAGCATGCTATGGCGCAACGTAAGTGATAACATTACACAAACGTTTTTCATATTTCCGACTGTTTATATAATAACTAGCTCGTAAGGAAACACATTATTATTGTCAACAGTTCACAATTAGCTACAAGGTTAGTTTTAAAAATCCCATTAAGTTATAAAATAATGCATTTACAGGCACAAGAGCGCCATTAGATTTAAAGGACTTCGCTCTTTTCGTTAACCGCGGTTACTTCACAATAAGCAGACACGCGCAATGTGCGACAGAGAACAGGTGCGATATGGTACAGTGGAATGAAGCTGATGAAATATTTTCGGGATACAAACCGCAAATGCAAATTGCATTGAAAATACGTGTTTGAATAATAAAAAAAGCAGTACGACATTCGCGGCCCGCCTTTTACTTTTCAGCGGTCCTCGAAGTGAACGTTTCAGTTCCTTTTTTGGATCCGACACGTTCAATCTCAAATACAATTCTTGTCAAAGAACTGTAAGCGCCCTCTTGCTATTCGTTGGGGGAAGGCAAGTGATTATCAGCTAGAATCTGTCTGGTCCTAAAAGAATGCAACCGATGCTATGGTGGTGCCGCCTGTGTGGGATCCGGCGGAATCTGTGCTTTGCTGGAGTTTGGAGTCAGGCAGTCGGTAATGTGCTAATGGGTTTGGCATTAATCTAGCTTTAGTGGCTGCGATGATGTTTACACATTTGATTTTTATAACCAAATGTTTAAAAATGCTGTGGGTAATCGGAGCAATGACTACAAATAATAAATAACACGTGTGGAAACACCACGTCTCCAACAGTATTCTTGCAGACAGAGGCGGCTCGTCATATGGGGATACGAGAACCGCTTCTAGAAATATCTGATGTATCAAATTTCGGTGGTAACAACATATATTCTTTCATATATTTAGTGGTATCGGAACATCTTACGAGCCGCCACTGTTACAACAATTACAACCTCCTAATTGTCATTGTCGTCTTCTCCGGCAGGTAGAAGTACTGAGCCGAGACGTAACAGCGCGTCTCCCTCGCTTGTCACAATCTTTACGATCACAGCCTCTATGCAGCACACGACGAAAATGGTTATGAAGACCGCCATGTTTCCCTGCTGTTGTGAGCGACCAGGGTCCTCATCGGCAGCCAGAGACATATAACAAGCCATCCACATAGTCCAGCTGTCTACACACCGCCCTTCGGGAACTTATAAACTGCCAACCACGTCACATTCCCAAAATAACAAAACACAATGCGTCATTTCACCCTCAGCTACAAATAATTTGCTTGTTGGTTACAAATATGATTTCTGTCTTTCACAATTATTAGTTTACTTGGGGAGTCAGTGACGGCAGTTTCTGGGTTAAAGCGCTGCATTTGAATGAGATTGATAAACAGGAACACGACAGAACACTTGGACACTTGTCTTGAGAAAAGCGATGAAAGAGTCTCTGGGATCTGCATCGGAGCGCTCCGCCGACACGTGTTTTGACAGGACAAACAGTCCACGGTGCCTAACGAGCTGCGTTTGACAAATTTCACAGTAAAGATGGTCATGCCATCTCTGTTCACCCACTTGAGGCAATTTAGGGGAACCCCGGCTTTGCTTGGAGAGCGTGTTCCCAAAATTCAAAGTGCTGCAATTTTCAAACCTTGAGCCCGACCTCTAAAAATGCATATTACGAAGTTCTATAAAATGTCTTCTTTATAAGTAGTTTTCTCTTCTTTTTCCTAGTTAAACTTCTATACGAAATTCATAAATACTTTCACCTCTGAAAGAAAAGGAAGTTAGTGTAAATTGAAGGTATGAAACGCATCACAGCACGCCACTGACACAAATAACCGTAAACACAACTTGTTTGCCTCTTATGTCATTCAAGTATTTTAGGTTGCCCGAATGAATTTGAGGAACGACTACTTTAAACTGAAGACTTGGTTCGTCCGCCTTACATCTCAACCGCTTCCAGATCTAGGGCTATATCCACCCTTTCTTATCGAATCGCGGGTGGCTGGGTTAAACAGGAGGACAACTTACTGAAACTCGATGACAATTTATTAAAACCGCCACTATTAGACCTACCACTGAACCAAGTTAAATAATTTTCTCTAAAACAACTAATCGTAAGTAAGATATATGAGCAATTATTTGAGTAATTTTTTAATATTAAGCTTAGGTTTACTTTATACTTTACGCCTCCCACCCCTTCAAGTGTTCATCAGCAAGACGTGCCCTGGCTCTTGATTTGACGTCCTCCGTTAAGCTGTAGCTTACAGTTACTCACAAGAATAGATACTGTACTGCCAAATACCTGACGACATTAAAGATGGTGCCTTTTAACATAACCGTCTTCCATCTACAGACAGACACAATAACACAAAGTTAGTACGCAGGCTACGTGACTCTGCTTTGCCCTCTCTCATTACACTTAATTGTCTTGAATCATAGGCCCACAACGTGCAGGACTCAACACAGCCCTAAACTCGCAAAGTAATTAAGTAATTTTACGTATGTTACTGTAAGATGCCACAAGATGTTATCCCAACAAAACAAACAATCGGATGTACAAAAATCTGTGTTTTGTTTTCGCAACAACCATCTGACAGGGGCCTTCTTGTCTGCAGGAATATTCCTGAACGCGTGCAGATTTGTAGGAGGGAAGATGCTACCAGGAGGCTGAAAATGGAGGCAGAATGTTCTACGAAACGTTAGTATCCACCTACATGTCCACACGGCGTCACGACCCAGAAGACCAACACCGACACCTCTCACAACACACAGCCGTTGTTCCCTTGGACATTAACAAACATAATTGACATTCGGCGTGTTTTATTGAAAGTCGGAATATAGTTTTTAAATGTTAGGTTGGATGAACTTCATGTTTAAAATGGATACACGAACCTCGAACACAATAAGACAATCTATTTTCAGTGTCACCCGTTGCTAGTAGGTGGGAGAAGAAATGACAGAAGAACCAGTGTTTCTCAATCTGCTTTTATAACTCGCCGTTTGGTTGCCATATCTTTGCTTGCGTTTCAACGTTCCACGACGTGGCCCTCCGGTAAATATTAATATCTCTCAGTTTTCAGGGAGTTTCCTCTGATACTGCGCGGAATAGAGACGCAAGACGCAGTCAACGGCTGATGTTTCTAACGTGACCAGTTTTAAATTCCTTTCATGCATACATTTGCTTCAAGAAAATGTTACGTCAAAGACATGGGTGGTGGATTCGTCGACTCTTTACAGACAGAAAGCGTTGTGATGTACAGATAGTACTCCAGACTTCACCTACAACAATCATGCAATTCTAAGTGATATCACCAAAGAAGCTGATACAGCGTAATTAAATAAACCCACAAGAAACAAACAGCAAACTGTGAACACGCTCTCCAAGCTGACAAACTCCACAGTATTAATGCGCGAACAGCGAAGTAAACTATCTGAATACAATAACAGAGTCTATGACCGAACGTCGCCCACAAGACTGCGTCAATCACAAGGATTTCCTATAAATCTGAACACAGTTGCCCACAGAACTGAACACAAAACATTTCTTATAAGCTGAACGGAACTATTCCAAGCAAACCGAACATTGACCATAAATCTACAAACACACAGCTGAACACTGCAATGCGAAACGAACACTGAACATCTGTAGAACTATGCGCCACCGTAAGTGTTTGTCGAGAGTGAAAGCGAACTGGCTACAGCGTGTTGTCCCCGCGGTGTGCTTCGAGCCGTCAACTTCCTATCCAATAGGTAAATCGACCGGAGCCACTCATCGCAATCCAAACACTTTCACGCAAGTTTTAACGAGTGTATCAGATGCCGAGGAGACATGACGGTTCTTTGTACTCAAGACGTCCTGGGTTAAAGTATCGGCCTGGACGACTGGCGGTTTCGTGGTCTTTCTCAGTTCCTCCAGGCAAATACCTAGATGGAACTTGAGATACCTCCTCCCACATCCTCCCAAATTCATTATTCACAAACCATCCCATGGAAATAACTACTGACAGCGTCGTTAAATAAATAAATGCTCTGTGTTCATAAGACTCCAGTCCGTATCTTGACTCGGCGACAGACTATATATACAAAAATTCTTCACAGGATTATAAGATTCCTCAGGTAAAAGCAGGGTAAATACGCCACTCCCACTTTCTTGTACATCCTTTCCATCTCATTAGTTACAAATAGTTTACTGATCAAGGTTCGAACCAGGGACATCCGAAATATGAAGCAATAGTGCCGCAGTCCGGTGTGGAACTACGGTCCTCTTCTACTGGGCACACCTCATGTTGGGACATTCTATACAGGACAGAAACGTCATCCATCGAAGAAAACTTTCTCCAGCCGACTTAAACGGCTTCCTGGTTACGTAATGTCAGACGTAACTTCCTGAAACTGGGGCACGAGAACAAACACGAAAACGGCCGACATTCATACTAATCGCCATTTAAGAATCCAGTTATTAATAACCTCTCTTCAACAACTGACAACTTTTTTGTCGATTAGATTTCGTGGCTAACATCGCGTTTCATTTCAATAACCTTCTGAAGCACGAAATTCGTCTAAACAATATTTAATAAATCAGTCCGTACCTCAAAGAAAGCACAGAACTTCTCCATTAAAAAATCAAGTGGTCAATGCTGATTAAGAAAATAATAACAGTTTCCTCGAAACCCATAAACACAAAATGAAGTTATTTATTGTTGAAGCAGATGGGATATGCACTTACCATTGGACTTTGAAAGGTTAAATAACATAATTCTCTCAAGAAACTTGTATATAAGCATTTGGTATTCGACATAAAACAGAGAGCATTCAGTCTTCTGTTGAAGACACGTCCATTTCTGTAGCCACGCTAAAACTCATTGGACAACAGCGCTTTAAGATATAGGCTATATCGCGTTATGTTTATTATTCTGTCATTTAACGACGATGTATTTATTGTTGCAGTTATATACAGTCGAATAACATGTGGATTATGACTCTCAATGTCGAACATACTTTACTATATTGAAATAGAACCACGAAAAACCTCAACCTCCATTTATAAACGATCACTGGCCGGAGTCAGACGTCAACCTGGTCTATCTTTGTCCCAAGCAATATGTCTACTTCATAGCATACACATTAAGATGTCACAAAGTCACTCAGTTTTCCAGTCCTACAAGGGTACGATATGTCACGTTTAGATAATGTAAGTTCCTAATCCAGTGGCAGAACTCGATTTACCCCGAAAGTATACCATATGTCGTATGTGGTAGAATATGAAGGATATTTGTATTGGCCGCAACTTTAAATATATGTATTTTGTATATTATTATTGTTATTGTCTTTTTCGGAGGAATACACTGAAGCTGTTTACATAAAAGTATTTGCTGATTTAAGAAAAGACTTCATATACAGCTTGTAGGAATACAAAAGTCTTTGAGAATAAAATATTGTTTTATATACTAACCTAACCTAACCTAACCTAACAAACGTTTTGAGAATTAAAGAAATTGTTTTATATTAAGTGTTTGCAATTATAAAAAATAAAATAAAACTGTATAAATCGTATTATAGAAACTTCTTTGTTATATACTTTGCCTAAAGAATCTGAGGCATTTTATAAAATTCGTAGGTATTCTATAGAATAACTAGGCAAAGTATAAAATAAACTGTTAGTTTCATACATTGCCTAAAAGCTATAGACATTTTATAAAATACCCGGGCATTCCATAGAATGCCTGAATTTCATACTTTGCCTACTGACTTTAGGCATTCTATACATTGCCGGATTTCATAGTTTGCCGGCAACATATACATAGTAACACAGTTATTATAGAATGTGATCAAGAAAAACAATTTTGGTTTCAAATGTAACAAAGTCTCTACAGACCACATTAGCAGCTGATGCGCATCTAGCAAAAGTACACACAAAGGGGCAGGGAGAGAAGTTTCCAGGGCATTGATTGGGAGTCCTGAGAGAGGGAGACCTCTGAGAAGACCTAGGAGTAGGTGGGAGGACAACGTTAAGATGGACCTTAAGGAGACAGGAATCGATGAAGCGAACTGGACTCAGCTAGCTCAGGATAGAGGCCGGTGGCGGGATTTTGTGAACACCGCGATGAACATTCGGGTTCCATAACGAAAGTGATCTATTCTTTGACAAGCCTAGTATACAATCGACTCCTCAAAGCATTTCCTGCACGGTAGAGAGCTTTTTTACGTTTCAATCAAATAAAATGGAAGTATGTTACAATGAAGTTTACATTTTTGTTTACATGTGAGGAAAACAGAGAAACGGAAAATATATCTTAGTCTTAAGCCTGTAAATAGTAAAATTAGGTGGTTATGATTTTCCCCAGCCATGAGATGGCCCCGAGAACACTTGCCCTTTGGAGACTGTTTGATATGCCTGATGAGAAAAATAATAACTAATTCCATCAAACGCTAAATAACGTATGCTTACTGCCAACTAGCTACTGTAGCTCAAGGACTTTTTCATTTTCATCTCTATCAGGCAGCTAGATGCAGAGGCATATATACATTTATATTTTTGTTACGTTGGCAATACTAATTTCGCGTCTCCGTATTTTAGAATGCAGATTACAATTACGTCGAATGTAAATCAGATGGGCGGCTTTCCTTTACCATGCTTCAGTTCATTGTGTTGGTATGACTGGCCTAATTTTAATAACTTTAGTTTTGGCACGCAGTTTGAATTCAATGAGATTGGACCATCGCTTTTGAGGTCGTGGAAAACACAGCTCTGTTTCTCATCCTTTTATTTCCACTGTCCCGTTAAGACAGTGCACAATCGGCCCCCTGAACCTCCTGCAACGTATACCATTGTTACGGGAACAACGGAACATGTTTCCGCTGCGCCATTGTTTTCGCGGCACGCTAACAGAATGAACCGGAAACACTACGTTGATGGAAGTGCCGTTCTTGTAGGTCTTGAGGCAAATTAATGAACTGTGTCCGCCAGACTGGTCCTCTTGCCCTTAAAGTTTTATGCCTTTCCAATCTTGCTTTTATTTTAGTAAATAGTCTTCCGTCAGTAAGCCCTGTATGTCCATGATAACGTAGAATTTATATTCCAGAAGAACCACAGATGTTCTTACTTTTAATCGCTGACACGCGGAGCCAAATATTTGTTCCACCAAATTTTTCAAATTCTGAGTAAACAGCTTCTAAGCGAGACATCTCGCGGGTGAGAACTTCACGAGGTATAAAACGCTGCACATCATGGAAGTCCGAAGTTCATATAAATTAATTCGAAAATATCAGTTCCTACCGCAAACAGAACACAGCAAACATCAAGTGTTTAAGGCTATTTATGAAAATGATAGTTGTTTACTCCGAGTAATTACACCCCGTGGGCAAAGTACAGA